AGTTTGTTATGACTTCGGAAGGTTCCACACCCATCTGGGTATTATCAGGTACCGAGTTCTTAGGAGTTGGTGATTTTTCTGGTTCCTCCTGGACATTTCCTGCCATGTGTATTAAATGAGAGGATCTATGCCATGGTTTGACCCACACCATACCTCGGGCTTCATATTGATCGCCATAATGAGTTCATTCTCCATTATTCGTAGAAAATTTTAGAGCATAATGAAAGATCGAGACAGCTGCACGAAGCTTGTACAGAGTTGTTCTTCCCACGATGACATTGTATTCATTCTTGAGGTCCATTACTTTGAATGTTTCCATGATAACCTTTGAAGTTTGTCCAGGTATTCCAAACCGGATTGGCATAGTGATCTCACCAAGAGTCGGCGTGATTGTTCCATTAAAACCCTGTACTTGATCTTTACAAGGTTTAAGCTCGGTGGGATCAATTCCCATTTGTTCAAACGTGCAGAGCAGTAAAATACTCGAGTATGCGCTTGTATCAACCATTATTCGATGTACTGGTATCCCGTAAATTGGCGTCCTGATCACAAGTAGATCAGAATGTGGGTGAGCGAAATAGCTTGCATCATCCACGTTAAAAGTGATTGGGCAATTATTTCGAGCATTGATTTTATCTCGGAGGTCGGTAGTTAAGACAGTCTTGCCCGAGTTGTAAGCTTGCCGAGCATATGCCTTCATTTGCCGACGCGATTCTTTTGTTTTTCTACTACTGTTGTTAACTCGTGGAACATTATAGAGATCGGGAGGATTAGAAAAACCTCTTTTATTTAGTGTTACAGCTTTCGCTGAAGAGGAAGCTTGGTTCTCCTCCGGGTTGAACATAAAGACTTCCTTGTCACCCTGTCTAATTTGCTTTGGATTAATCGGGCGATCATCGTCTGGGGGTTCTGGTAATCTGCCCTTTCGCTTGTAATCAACATTCTTAGCAAACCTATGGACTTGAGGGTGTCCAATAAGTCTCAGCAAAGCAGAAAGTAAACCCAGACATTCATCAGTATCATGTCCTGCCGACTTGTGATATGAGCAATATTTTGTCTTGTCAAGTTTATCTTCTGAAGTTCTCACAGGTCGGGGATCAAGAAGAATCCCTTTCCCTTTTAATTCATCAAATATAGTTGCAGCTCCAGCCGAGAAAAATGTTTGCTAACTTGACTTGACTTCATTGAGATATTTGGCTCTGGCTTCCTTCATCTCGGGATTTTTGGAATTCCCATTGAACCGAGATTTGTTCTGTTTGAAAAATTTATTTTTCTTCTTTTTCGATTCCTGTTCCAGCTCTGATTTATTAGAATAGAAGTCGAAATTAGGAACCGACATTGATTCTTCAGCAATGATATGCTGCTGAGCCCGAGCTAAAAAATGTTGGAATGAGCTCGGTTTATTCTGATAAATACTCCAGCGAAACAGAGAATTTGGCCTTAATCCTGCTATCGCCGTGATCAACAACGTTTCTAGATGGCATTGATCCATATTCTGCACTCGTTCATTAAACTGAGTAATGTAATCTTTGACACTTTCATTATCCTTTTGCACGATATTGGCAATTGATTCCTTTGGGATCAGAGATACTCAGGCCCCAATAAAATGAGATCGGAAAGCCGTTCTCAATTGTTGCCATTTTGAGATTGAGCATCGAGGTAAAGAGTGATACCATTTCTGAGCCCGAGGTCCCAAAGTTAATGAGAACATCCGACATCTCAACGCGTCAATTGCTCCGTGAAGATCCATCCATGAGGTGTATTGACCAAGATGTGCATCTGGATCCGAGGTGCCAACATAAAGACCGATTTGGGGAACCTTAATTTTTCCAGATAATGGTTCCATTGTAAGGTGAGGAGCCAATGGAGTTTCAGCTTCCAGATAAACATTATCCGAGATGGGGGCCCTCCTTTGAGATTCTTCAGAGCCCTCATGCCGAGTTTCTAACTTAGCAATTCTTTTTCGTAATATTTCCAGTTCATCTGACTCGCGTCTCAGACGATTTCTTTCAATAATATGACGCAGTTCATCCGAGTCGCGCCTAAATCGATTCCTTTCAATAGTATGACGTAAGTTGGAATGTCTGACGGGTTGTGAAGTCGCCGGTGACAGAGGTACCGATTGTTGACAACGGCGTCCTGAATGACTTTCAATAGTAATTTCAGGTTCATTACCTTCTGGTTGGTTATTGTTAACAGGAACTTCGTCGTGACCTTGGGCTGCTTTATTTTGTTGCGACACGGGAGTTCGCGGATGTGAAGTTGCATGAGAGGCAACAATATTATTGTTCTGTCCTTGAACAGGCTGCGTCTGCTACCTTATTGGAATATTTGGAACAAGAGTTTGACTGGGAACTGTTATAGTTGGTCCTGCTCTTGTTTGTGCCATTAAATTTGATAGATTTCTGAGAAACTCTGGATCTTGAAACAAAACAGAGTAGTCTATTGTCATAGAAGGTCCAGCCGTATCTTCTGTTGTTTGAAAAGGATTACGACTAGTTCTAGTGTCTGGATTTCTTTCTTGACGCCCAGAACTCGTCATATTGACTGCTATGAAAATCGTTTGGCAGATATGTAGTTTTTGTGTATGGTATATCGAAAATTAACCTCAAATTTTTTATGAGGCCCTCCTTCTAGAGCCAAACTGTTGTTGTACGAAATTTAACAACTCAATTAGCTAAAAGCAAGGTGTATGTAAAGAAAGATTAACGTAAATTTGAGTATCATTGATCGCTTCACAAGAGTACAGGAAGTCAGTTTTTGTAAGTAATCGAGATATTTTATAGTCCGTGTACAATGTGCGAAAAAAAGATCCCCGTACAGTCATAAATTCTACTATTATAGTATGGTGATTTTGTCTTTTTGTCCGAGGTAGATCAGATCGCATTTAATGTTGAGCAGCTTCAATAAAGCGGTGTGTAATGCAATGAGGGAACATCAATGATTATTCTTTGACTTGATGGTCCAATTAAAAGTGTACAACGCCTCTTGCTTTGGATTTCGATCTCCTCGGATCTCGATTTTGAATGGATAAACTTTAATGTAGATGTCTACGAGGTCGGTTTCTTTGTCTTAATTGTAAAGTCGGTTTCGAAGTTTGGCGATTGGTCGGTTATTCTTTCAGTTGTCCAAGGTCGGTTTATAGTTAATTGTACCGAGTTGAACTAAGTTGGTCGCCAAAAAATGATATTGAAGGACCATTAGTAAGATAAAATGATCGATCCTTTAATCAACCCTGAGAAATCAAGTCGGTTATCAACACAAACCAAGCACATTCGTGGTTATTGAACTAAGTTGGAAAGTCCAAAAAGGAAGCCTTTGAATCTGTGTTGGTTGCTGTGAGAAAAAGGCTGCAAAGCTGGAAGAATTCATTTCTATCCACTGGGGGGAGAGAGGTTTTACAAAAGGCTGTTATAAATGCCATTCCCGTTTTCATTATGTTAGTGTTTACCCTGCCAAAAGGAATCTGTATGGAGATCTCTAAATTGTGTGCTAAATTTTGGTGGAGCACTGGGGATGTGAACAAGCCAGGTATTCATTGGAAAGCTTGGAATCTGGTCACTACTCCTAAATTTTGGGGTGGTTTGGGGTTCCAAGATCTTCAGTTGTTCAACCAGGCTTTAATCCTCAAGCAAATCTGGAGAATACTCACTAAACCCAATCTGCTGGTCTCCAAAATATTGAAAGAAAGATATTTTCCCAGAGGATCTATTCTAGAAGCTAATAAAACACAAGGGTCCTCCTGGATGTGGGCCTGCTGGGTGGATGTGAAGAATGCCTATCACCATTTCTTCAGAAGAGAAGTGAGAGATGGTCTTAGTACCAGAATCCTAAAAGACCCTTGGCTTCAGAATTCAAAGGATGGAGTTCCTAGCTTTAAGAGAAACTGCACTCAGCAACTCTCATTGGTGGCTGAACTATTTGATGGAGGTGGTAGACACTGGAATTTAGAACTTCTCAGGGAACTTTTTGAAGAACCTGTGGTGAACCAAATCCTCAAAATTAAAAATATAGATCCTTCGCAAAGAGATAAATGGGTGTGGAGTGTGGATGCCAAAGGTATGTTCTCTGTGAAATCTGCTTATTCAGTGGCGGTATGGAATAAAATTTTGAAACTGGATAGACCAGAAAGCAGCACATCAAGGAACAGAGATAAGGCAGCTAGGTTGAGATGCTGGAATCTAAACATTAAAAGCAAGATCAAGCATTTTGTATGGAGGGGATTTTCAGAGACCCTGCCAGTTGCAAACAATCTGAAGAAAAGAGGTATGGATGTTGACTGGATATGTAAATGTTGTGGGGAAGAAAAGGAAAGTACAGAACATGCACTATTTTATTGCAACAGGGCTGCTAAGGTGTGGGAGACCTCGGCTTTGGATTGGGAATTCTGTCAGCAGAAAACAGGGACCTTTAGGGAATGGTGGTGGCAAGTTTCCGAGCTAAATAAAACTGAGACTTCCGAAGCCCGAATTCAATTATCCACGTATATCCTCTGGTGGTTGTGGAAGGCTCGGAATTTATGGGTGTTTCAAAGGGAATGGATGCCGGAGAACGTTATTGTTAAAAATGCGTGGAAGGAATGGACCGAGTATGTAGCCTGCAGAGCCAAATGAAGTCAGTTAGCAAGGAGAATTGGTAGACTAGGTCCTTTATGTTCAGTTTTCTTCCTTTTCTCCTTTGTGTGTGTGTGATTGTTGCTGTGGTTTGTTTGTATGGAATATGGGTTTCCAGTCTTTGGCCTCGCCTAGTATTCTGATTATTGTTTTGTAGATTTGATTCTAGGGCATCGGTTGTGATGTGCCTCCAGTGTGTTGTTATCGCATTCGGGCTCGTTAGCCTTTCGGGTTGTAAACTATTTGTTTTGTTTAGTTATGAGTATTTNAACCATATTCCGCATCGCACGGGTTTAACACTAGTATAAAATAATATCAATAGATTATAGATTATGAATTTCCTTTTATATTTTATATATAATGAAAAACTCAGAAAAGTAACCAAATCGAATGCTTGCTTTCCACTTTTATTTACAGTCTGTAAGGTATCACCTAACGCTGATACCTCCATTCCTTCTTAATACCATCCCCACAGTTCCATGTGTTTCCTCTGTGTTTTCCTGCGCAACTCCCTTAAACTTCAAGTTCTTTTTCTTTTCTTTTTCTCCTAAGGAAACTTGCTTTTAAAGGGACATTCTCTTGATGCTCAGAACATCCCATTTCGGAAAGTGTTTCCAACGGAAACAACACAGAGCTGCCTGTGCTTTCGATTTTACCATGAAATTGATTTGAATAATCTGTTGTGAGTTTTCATCTCGAAAGATTTGTAGCAGAGATCTGGGATTTTTGATGTGATCGCTATTTTTGTGTCCTGGCAGTAATTCTACATTTGTGCCTGCTTCTTTTGTTACAGAGGTAAAGATTGAAACTTTATCATATTTCCATGTTCTTTAAAGTCTTTGGATTGCTTTAGTTTGTCTTTTGAGTTAAAAATGATTCGCCCCCCAATACCTCAGCCCTTGTCTGTATTTTTTGTTTTCTTAAGTTTCTTTTGCTGGGTTTTACTTGGGAAAAAAAATAAATAAATAAATAAATTCCTTAGCAGTTTAGTTAGGAACGGCTTCTGAATATTCAAGCTACTTGCCACCATCTTGTGAAATGCTGCTTAAGCTATTTAATATGTTCACTGAGTAGAAAAGATCAATCAATTTTTATTTTTATTTTTTTCTGATTATTAGCTTCAATCTTGTTATCTTGCAGGTAGAAATTTTTAAGTTTGGGAAGGAAAAATGGGTGGTTCTGGCTTTAATTTTGATTGGTCTCAAAGAACTCACATCTTTCATCTCAAGGTGTGGGTTCTGGTGACAGTCTTTCTGGGCATCTCTTTAGCACTGCTTGTTTTCTTGCTCTTGTGTTATATTGCTCTCAGAAAATCCCGAGAAAAAAACGGCACACTTCCAGTACGCCTTGCCCCACATATATCCCGAGAAATCAAGGAAATCGACATGGACCAAAACTCGGCCACCACTCGTGTTCACAACAATTACATGTACCTCTTCAATTTCCATGAAAAGGATTCTGATAAGCTTTTGAATCATTTCAAGAATGAAGAGGAAAAGAATAATAATGACGGCAGCAGGCAATCTGATTCGTCTTTTAACTATCTACACGAGACTTCTCCAGCAGAATCTGGGGAAAAGAAGATGAAGAATTCTTCGCCTCTAATGGCTCTTCCTGAGCTATCGCACCTTGATTGGGGTCACTGGTTTACATTAAGGGACCTTGAAGTTGCTACTAATAAATTCTCAAAGGAAAATATTATTGGCGAGGGTGGGTATGGAATTGTTTACCGTGGTCAACTGGCTAATGGTACAATTGTAGCCGTGAAAAGGCTTCTGAATAACTTGTGAGTTTTACATGCAATTCCAAAAAGAAAAAAAATTGCATTCTATTGTACGCTTTTCTGAAATGTGTATTTTTTGGTATAATATGTAGAGGTCAGGCAGAGAAAGAGTTCAGGGTGGAGGTAGAAGCTATCGGTCATGTCCGTCATAAAAACTTGGTTCGGCTTTTGGGTTATTGCGTTGAGGGTACACATAGGTATTATTAATTTATTATTACTACATTGAACTTCCTCTGCAATTGCATTTCCTACCTAGTGACAAAGAATAAACTTTTTTTTTTTTTAAATAAACTTAATCTCAGGTTATTGGTGTATGAGTACGTTAACAATGGGAATCTCGAGCAATGGCTGCATGGAGGTATGGCTCATCTCGGGCACCTTACATGGGAGGGACGTATGAAGATTCTGATTGGAACAGCTAAAGCGTAAGTTCACATTTATGTTTGTTTGTGTGTGTATATGTGTGTGTTGACAAATTTGAGTTATCATATATTTGATCTTGTCCTGTACAGTCTTGCATATCTGCATGATGCTATTGAGCCCAAAGTCGTTCATAGAGACATTAAGGCAAGCAATATACTGATCGATGACGATTTCAATGCGAAAATATCTGATTTTGGACTTGCAAAGTTGCTCGGTGCTGGAAAGAGTCATATTTTCACTAGAGTCATGGGAACCTTTGGGTGAGCACTTTGATATGATTTAATCTGCATTTGGTCTCTGTTATTCTTGCATATTCAGTCACTATCAATGCTTCTTTCTCTACTGTCTTGTTTTTTTTAATTACACAGATATGTAGCACCGGAATATGCAAGTAGCGGCTACCTAAACGAGAAGAGTGATGTTTACAGCTTTGGTGTTTTGCTTTTAGAAGCTATAACTGGCAGAGATCCTGTCGATGACACTCGACCGGTTCATGAGGTACTATTATTCATGTTTAACTTTGCCAAAAATACCTGATTTTAAGTTATAGCCTATGTTTGGTAAAACTAGCTGGTATAAGCCAAATAATTTTTGAGCTTATAGCTTATAGCTTATGATTATAGCTGAAAAGCTAGCTTATATGATAAAAGTGTTTAGTAAAATTAGCTGAAATAAAAATTTCAACGAGCTCATTTGAAAACTACCCAAAGAAGCTTATGAAATAAGCTCGAGCTTTTTAAGTAAAGCTCATCCTACCAAACAAAACTTATTTGAATATAGGAAGCTTATAAGTTTACCTAATAAGCTACGAACTAGTTTATTTGTCTAGGCATAGTGGCAAAACAAATAAAATGGAAAACTATGAAAACTAGGCAGTGTATGCTAGAGCTGGAAACTTGATGTCAACATAATTTACCCAAAAATTTATATTCGGTTTTTAAATTGGAAATTCCATTTGAGTCATAGCATTTCTTTGAGTTGATTATCTATTTTTTTTTTTTATCAATTGCATCATATTTAATATATAGTCTTTTGCAGAAAAACCTAGTTGATTGGCTCAAGTTGATGGTTGGAGAGAGAAGGTCAGAAGAAGTTGTCGACCCGAATATGAAGAGTAGGCCGCCTACATCTTCCCTTAAACGGGCCCTCTTGACAGCTTTAAGGTGTGTTGACCCAAATGCTGAACAAAGGCCCACAATGAGTCAAGTGGTCCGAATGCTCGAGTCTGAGGAATATCCAATACCAAGAGAGGTTTGCTTTTAACTCTAGTAAAAAAAAACTCTTATCTTACAATTGTGTGATGATTTCTCTTTTGACGTCTTTATTGCACTCGTCTGCAGGGCCGTAGAGTGCGAAAAGAGAAACAAGAGAAAATTTGATGGATCGGAAGTTGAAATTTCAAATATGAAGAAGCGAAAAGTGCGTGTGTTGTCTTAGAAAATTGTAGATAGCAAATTTGATAGGAAGTGTTTTTTACATGATTTTAACATAAAGAAATACATTACAGTATACCTCAAAATGCTTGTAGATGCTATGTGTGTTTGAAAGAGTTGTATTCTTACATCAACTTGACAGTCTCAAGGATTTGGATTGAAATTGATTTTGCGTTTGAATTTATTTTGTATATACCTCTCTCCCTCTCTCTCCTCCTCTAAATGTATATGTGGTCTGATTTCAATTTCTTAAGGTAGGTATTGTAAAATGTTTATTCAAATGCTTGGGAATGGAGGGAAAAGTGTGTATGGTATTAAGCTGAAAATTGGAAATAAAATTTGTCCTTATCTATCCAGCCAAAGTTCATCTCATTTAAATTAAAAATGAAAACAAAAAACTTATTTGTTATAAAACATTCAATAAAAAACAATCGCATACTTGCATAATTCTAATTACCAATCTTGTCAATCAATAATTTATTATATTTATAACATATCAAATTATATTCATTCACAATTTAAAGATCTCTCTTTAAAAAAACAAAAAAATCAAATTTTGATCATTATTTTTGGACGAGACAATTTTTTCGAAAAATTCATATATCTGGTCACAACCGCAAGAACTGTAATTATAACAATATGCATATGATTCTGTAAGAGAACCAAAGGTCAACTACAAATCATATATTAATTCCATGTGCATTCAAAATTATTGATTGCATAATATAAAAACCATGAAACCCTTTGTTCACTGGAAGATAAGCCAACAAATAGCCAACTCAACATGCATTCAATACAACTCAGAAGATGCTGAAAACATTTGTGAAGAATAAAAATAGCAACCAAAACATCAACAAACAGTTGTTAGTCAACAGAAATTTCAATAAGTAGGCCGCAGCATAAGGGCGAGGCGCGTATCTGTATTGTTCGTATTTAATCTCAATCGCTATTTACCGTTCCCTTTTACTAGTCACCGCCCCCTTCATTTACTCTTTTGCCCTTAACCTTTTTTTGGATTTCATCTCTCTAAATTTCCGAACTTCAACGAACGATTCGAGCATAAAAAAAAATCCAAAAGAATGTCGAAAAAATCCTACGGCCTCGACAAAGGATTCTTCTCCAACAAGATAATTTTTTTTTTTTTTTT